ATATCTGCAGAAATGGCAACTTTTACTTTACCACTTGCCCACCAACATCTATACCCTGACAGCAGCGTAGGCAACTTTTTTAGTACCGGAAAATAGTGACAGAGTGAGAGCTCTTACCCTTTCCTCCTGTCTACTTTCCAATTCCAATTCGGTGGAACTACTGTCTCAGCAGGTTGGGTAAACACATCAACTCACTAATTCATGACTCAGGGCAGTTAGGTGCTTCCATCCTGTTCCATACTGGAAAGTTAACCCTTTCATAACCTTCAGAACGTGATGAGGCAACAGTGGGTTTGCTCTTCACAACATCCTTACCTCTGCTTTTAACGGAGAGGGAACTGGGCAGATTTTAAGATGATGCAAATAATGTCTCTCAGTCAATCAAGTTTATTTGTCACATGTAATCATATAAGGTATAATTACCGTAAAATGTAAACCCACCAGTTTCTTCAATTTGTGCATTAAAATGATATCAAAAATATAAATATATGTTAATGTGTTTCAACGTATTTATGTATCTATTATTTTATATTTTTTCTAACAATAAAGATAGTTTATCCTGACTCTCTCCACCTAACTTAATAAGAAGTTAAACTCAATAAGAAGGGCATTAGAGATGCTATTGTCAATGTAAATCTTCTGCTTTGAATTATTAATGGTGCATTTTCATATTCAGGCCTCCAAAGGTCAATAACACTTTGTGCATTTTGCCCAACTGCAGACTAGAGAATTTCATCAAATTGACTTTTTTATTAAAAAGTATTATTCAGTGAAGGTTAATGGTGAGTGTGAGTAAAGATGCTAGAGGCAATATTTGCCTACAATTTGGTAGGCAAAAAGTGGCCTGTGAGCCGAATCTGTCCCTCTGGCTTATATATATATAACAGCTGTTCCGTCAATATCTAGTCAATATATTTGAATTATTTCAATAAAATGGACAACCAGTCAGTGATTTTTATTGTCCACATCCAGTAAAAGAAAAGGCCTACACAAAATATGAATTTAACAAAATAGCAGTTCTATTCATTTGAAATTACTATCACAATTATAATATCAAGAATGGTGCTAGGCCTATATGAAAATCCTGCAGTCATAATATAAAGTAGCCCTACAGAAGCAGGTTCAGGTAGATGCAGGTCTTTCTTTCTCTCCTGTGGAGGAGCACAACAGCAGATGGAGGGAAAAAGAAAATGTGGTGGCAGCATGACGAAGCATGTTAAATGCATGTTAAACATGTGTCTGAATAATAATAAATTAATACTACAGTATATTAACAAGTCTAAACAATAGTAAGTCCTACTAAATTATAAATGCATCAGCTTATACTGTTGATATAATTTTTAATCAACAGAATGTAACAATTGTACATTATTTTAGAGTTTAATAGGGGCAACAAAACCTCACCTACTCTGACAGTCACAGTACTCTACATCCTCTAGGGGTTCTTAGTCCTATCCAGAAGGTAAAGAATTGACCGTGTATGTTTTCATCCAGTCTCAGTTTATAAGAATTTCTTTCTGAACACAAATGTGGTGTTTTAAACGGGAAATCTGTGATTCCATGAAAAGACAAAATTTAAATTAGATTTATTAAATGACTACGGATGATATTGTATACAAGCTACATTTTCCTCATTATCAATACTTATTAATAATCAATAATATTTTTTAAGCCCAATTCAATCTACATTACTTCTGAACATACCAAGGTAAATTGAGTGGGGAATTAATTAATTTTATATATATAGGGTTTCACTTAAGAAACTCATGAAGTGGTAGAACCTAAAATGGATGTGTTAACACACTATTTTATGTTGTTTTAAGATGTCAAAAACTGACATGTTAATATGCTATTTTATGTTGTTTAAAGAGGTTGTTAAGAGGGTGTTTTATGTCATAATGACGTGTTAAAATTTACCTTGCTAGCATCTAGTTAATGTATTTGGTACACAAGTAGTTAACAGCTCTTGTACTCTACTATGAGTCCAATGCGTTTTTTAATTCTTGAAAGATTATGTCCTACCCCCCTAATCTGGCATACCGGGCAAATGCCCGGTGGGCCGACGCACCTTTGGGGCTGGTGTAACGTAAATTATTTATTTATATAAATGTTTTTAAAAAACAGGCCAAAGATCGGCCCATAAAGCATGGACAGTGGCCCATTGGGTATCTTTCTGGGCTGGCCCAATCACATCTCTTACTAGCCCCCACCCCCTCTGCTCTCTGTTTCTTGCGTTACGGGCCAAAGAAACCCCATTCTTCAGAAGGCTGCCGCCAAATGCACAAAAACAATCGATATGTTTGCTGCCGTGGTAGCTTCAACATCAGCTGTGTAGAGAAGCCACAGGCACTTGAAGGAGTAAAAGAGCTGTGGTGGCCACTGCCAGGCAGAGGAGGAGGCGTGTGTTAGCGAAACAGAGGGACAAAGTGACAGGGCTGAGGGACAGAGAGAGCAGGAGGAGAGTGGAGGTGAAGCGGTAAGCATGGAGTAGCTCTTGTAGACTTACAAATATCTGGGGCTGCAGCTGCATGACAAGCTGGACTGGACAGAAAATATGGACACTCTCCACAGGAAAGGGCAGAGCCGTCTGTACTTCCTGAGAAGGCTGGGGTCCTTCAACATCTGCTAAAAACTGCTGCAGATGTTTTACCAGTCTGTGGTGGCCAGCGCCCTGTTTTATGCTGTAGTTTGCTGGGGAGGAAGCAGCAAGAAGAGAGATGCCGGTCGACTGGACAGACTGGTGAGGAGAGCTGGCTCAGTGGTGGGCTCAGAGCTGGACTCTCTAGTGACAGTGGCAGAAAGAAGGACCCTGGACAAACTGCTGTCCATACTGGACAACGCCCACCACCCTCTGCACAAGACCTTCATCGGGCAGAGGAGTGTGTTCAGTGGCAGACTGCTGTCCCAGCCCAGCTCCACCAACAGACTTAAAAACTCTTTCGTCCCCTGGCCATCAGACTGTACAACAGCTCCTAGTCATGGCAGGGAGGACAATAGAAAAATCTGTACTCTTTACTTCCATCTGCACTCCATTTGCACTGTTTACTGTTTTTGCACTGTGTGTTATCAGTTATTTTAATTTTAATTCTATTTTAATATACGTTTAATGTATGTTTAATGTATGTATGTTTTATATGCTACTGGATACTTGAATTTCCCTCGGGATAAATAAAGTATATATCTATCTATCTATCAATCTATCTCAACCTGTAGGGAGGGGGCAGGGAAGGAGGGTCATTTACAGTGGGGATGCTGGGGACATGTAGCCACCACTTTTTGAAAGCATTTGTTAAAAATGTTCTTAAAAATGGCTTGCACCAAGAAATGTTGATTAACAAATGAAAATGCTATGAGAAAGTTTATTTGCACAATAAGAAAACCTGCAATGTAAATATAAAAGAAACATCTGCATTGTCCAAAAAAGTAACTTAAGCAAAAAATAATAATAAGCTACTGATTACTGCATTTTATTTTATTATATTTTTATATTGTGAATTGTCACTTGCCACCTGAATTTTGTACTTCCCTTTATAAAAACAAAGACTTTTAAATTGGTGCAGAAAATGTCTCCAGAATGCAGGAAATCAAGTGTTTAATGCTAAAAATCTTCAGGGGGAGGACCCCCAGACCCCCATATCAAATATTTCATCTATAAATATTTTTTCAAAATAGTAGGTCTATTATAATATATTATTGTCTAGTAGTCATGCACACCAGTCTTGTGTTTCATCATACCCCTAATCTGACCCCCTAAATGGATTGATGGACCGACCGATTTTGGTGGGCCGCCTCGGCCCAAAATGCCAGGGCTGATTTTTTTGTCCCGGTCCAGCCCTCTACCTCACAGTGGTTTGGTCTGCTGCTTACCTTTTTCAGACCCACAGCAACTAACAGTTACATAAAATATCCTCCCTTGATTGTAACATCTAATGCTACCCTGACATTATGAGAGGCACGCTATTTGAACAGTACATGCAGTACGTGCTGTAATGAGGTCTAATAAACTTACAAAATAAATAACACTGGTAAATAATATATTGTCGTCTATCTGTTGAGAACAGATTTGTGTCAAAAACAGTTAACTTTCAGTCAACCATAAATAAAGCAGGCTACTGTTTGTCCTGTGTGGAAAGCCTACCAGTTGCATCTCTATACTATAAGTGCAACACAGAACATGTGTTCACAAATGAGAATTGACATAAACTGCTGTAACTCTGTCAGTCTTCACTTAGTAACTGGATTAATGACGTCTGCCCTCAGATACAATGCAACTAAAACTGATAAATGTTGTGTTATTCCTACATGAATAATAAACAAACAACACATCTTAAAAATAGGAATGTGTTTCCACCGTGTCTGTAAAGCACTGGACCCGCAGTGTGTGAACAATGCTGAGGAAAACAGGCCCAACGTAATTGCTGACCCCAGCTGTATCGTGTCAAGAGACAAACACTTATTTAGGGTCAGAGTGTCTTTACAACCGAACTACAGTACATTTCTTTATGGTAAAATTGTAGATATTAATGTTTATGATGATCTAGTCAACTTTGTGACCTCCCCCTCCTCCCAGGGAGTGTGCATTGATAAATTGTCTAGCTGATGCTTTTTGGTTAGTGACATAGCAATGAAAACCTGCAGTCCATAATAATCAAAGCATCAATCAATATATATTAAAACATGTGTCTGGATAATAATAAATGAATACTACAGTATATTATATATATGGTATTATATATATAAGTCTAAACAATAGTAAGCCCTACTAAATTATAAATGCATCAGCTTATACTGTTGATATAATCTACTATGGAATGGTAATGGTAAGCATTTTCCCTCCTTGCCTGTGGTACTGATGCTGAGGGTCTCTTGATTGACACACAGCTTGCAGTTTCTGTCAACATGGGAAAGACCTTGGGCCATGACGTCACAGCTTCTCTTGCCACCTAATAGCGGATGTCACTTGTGATTGGCTCACATCGAGGAACTGTCCGTGCAGCCAATCACAGCAGCGTTTGCTTGCCGATTAGGCACTATCAACATGGCAGCTTTCTGAGTTTTGGAGGAGGGTACCTGGTGTAAATAAACACAAATTTCACGTTTTACAGATAACGACAGCGTTCGCGTGTTTGCGTTTAGGAGTGGTCGGACCGTAGAGGGAAAATGTCGACTGACGGGAATAAAAAACAGTTCTGGAAAAGAAACGCAGCGAAGGTTCCTGGCAAGTAAGTGACGTGTTCCCTCCTGTTGGCTAGCTTAGCGTAGCTAGCCTCACTCAACTGACGCCGCACTGTTCAACGCAACTTCCACTTTTACCGACGCTGCTGCGGTATAGCACAAAGTTTGCGAGTTTCACCACTTTTATCGCACCAATTTCTTTGGTAAATTAGTCTCGCAGATACAGTTTACACCTTTCTGCTGTTAGCTGGCTATGAGCTAAGTTACGTTGCTAACAGCGGCTAACAGTTGGGCAACAAATCCGAGTACACTAACTAAGTATATACAGTAACCATTTTACATTACGGAGTAGCTATGGTCTTACAACAATTTAAAGTCGTTTTAATCACACTTAGTCGCAGTATTGTAGCATTAACAGATATTGTTTTGAGTAACGAGAAGCTAACATGACTAGCTTGACAGCCAGTTAGGAGCTCATTGATTTACTCTCTCTCTTCCTCAGCATTCAGCATGTGTATGGCGCACAACATCCTCCTTTCGACCCGCTCCTTCATGCAAAGTAAGTTAAGTGTACTTAGGTGTAACACTTTTGTTAACCGTCTGCTTCAGATGCTATACTACGTGAAACCCTAGCTAAAGCTGCTCCTATATATGTTGCTGTTTTGACTTATTTTATGCATTAAACGGTGGATTGAAATATCTCCCCTAATCATGGAAGATCCCAGTGTTCATTAATCAGATGATGTTTTGACCCAGCCACTAACAGAAGATAGAAAACAGCTGTGGCATGGATCGATTCTGTACATTTAAACATATTATAGTCACAGCCACATCCCAGTCAGGAATGTGGAAGCGTTTGTTTAGCCATTTGACAGCTGACACCAGTTGTGACATCAAGGACTGGCATGTGGCCAAAACCGCAACATGCTTAAATTAAATGGCATATATCAGGTTTTGCAGTAACCTTTTCTTTACATTGCATGGACCGTCCTGTTCTCCAGTGTCAGTGGAGATGAACCTAACAAAAAATGGCTGGCCGGACAGCTTGATATGAATAAGGCACAATTTCAGTTTACTTTAACTTGTAATCATGTCCAGTACAAATAAGGTTAAATGGAAGTCATTTCAGAACTGCAGGATACCTACAAAGTTCTAGAGTGAAAATGTGTGAGTGAATTAATTTTTATTAATAATTAAATTCTTGAATAAACAAGAAAAAGTCTGGACTTTATAGTAAGTTGTGTAGAGCTAAAAAAATTGCAAAAAAACTGTAGAGTCTTAAAATGTTAAGTGTGTAAAACAAATTTTATATGAACCACTTCATTTTACACACACACGCACACACAGATAGAAAAACAGCCTATTATTCTTCCAACGGATGTTTAATCATGTAGATTTCTACAGAGGGTTGAATTTAATTTGCTTGTTTTTTGTTAGGGTATATATTCAGACACTCTCTTTTCTTCTAATTTATGATGGAAGCTAATATGGACAAGTCTTTCTCTTTATTATGGTAATCCTTGTCTTTGTAAGAAATCAGAGCACCTTACCCCCCCCCCACACACACACACACACACACACACACTCCCCTTTTTCTCCATTGCATGATAGAACGGGAATGGCTGACTTTAATTGAATTCTCTTTTTCTTTTGCGTCTCTTGTTCCCATTAAATGAAATAGTGTCCTTGCAGCACAAAGACAGCAGCTCAATGAAATGTTGTTTGAACTGATTCAGTCTTGTTTCGTGTTAGAGACCTGTGTGTGTGTAGAGGTGGTGACTCATACCCCTATGTGTTTAATTGTGGTAATTCTGTGTTCTCGCTGGTAATTCTTTTAAAATCCGGTGTCAAATGTTAATTTGTTAATTGTTAAGCTTTTCTCTTTTTTTCCAGAAGGCTAGCATTCTTTTATTACATTGCCACCCTTTCAGGTTCAAAATGATTCACATCTCATCTCTGTCCTTTTCCCTCCCTTATCCTCACTGTGGTTATTTACTTTATCTCCCTCTCCTTTTCTCTCCTTTCCTGCCACTTCTGTTTTTTTCCCGTCTTTCCTACACTCCCCTCTTCCTCGCCTTTTCTCTTAACTTCTTTAATCGCATCCTCTTTCCCTTATCTTCTCTGTTTTCATGGCCCCGTTTTTGTCCTCCAGCCTGATTAAAGCAGGCAACAAGCCGCCCCCGGCCACGCCAGGCAAGCCCAAGAAGGCTACCACCTTCCAGGAGTTTGAGAGCATCACAAGCGATGCCTGGGATGTTGGGGATGATGACGACGAGTTGCTGGCCATGGCTGCACAGAACCTTAATATCGAGGTGGTCATGGAGACGGCCAATAAGGTGAGAAAACATATATACAAACTATTAAGTCTAATGAATGTTTTTCTGCCACAGATTCTTGGTTGAGGGACAAGTGCCCTACATACTGTAATGACATCATCATGGAGTCTTGTCAGTCCATAAATAAGCAATTTCGTGTATGTTAGCACCTTTTTAAACAACTTCCCGTTCCACTACATCTTCAACTTCGTAGGGAGAAGCATGTTTTCCTGACAATATTATGACATAAACAGTTGCGACACAGCTGACACACATGGTTTCTCTGTCAACTGAACAGGTGATTGAGAATCACAGCAAGCAGCAGGAGAGACAGAGGCAGGATCAGACAACAGAGCTGGAACAGAGAGAAGAGGACACGCAGGAGGAGGTGGCAGAGGACGAGGAGGATGAGGAGGAAGATGAGGAGGACAGGCTGGGGGAAGGAGAGGTGACCGGCCCAGAGGTGTCGTTTGCCTCCCAGAGAAGCCCTTACACTGATGGCCGCCTAGTGAAGTCCCACAGCGAAGCTCCAATTGGGTCACCTAAAGGTCAGTGAAAGCTCATTGTCCAAAAAGTTTTCTGGCTCACCTGCGTACTAAAAGTAAAATTTGAAAAGACATACTGAAACCCCTCTCTTATGTTTTTGTTACATTTATTTTAGTGTAATTATTAATAGGATGTTTGGCCAATGCATAAACATATCCTGTAAAAGTAACTGTTTAATCTGGGGGAACAACACGCCACCATAATCACCATATTAACTCAATGCTGTGCCAGAAATAGGATTTAAGTAAACAACTTACTCACATTTACAAACTGACAACTTACTTTTTTTTGTCTGCATCATTATCTGTGTTTGTGTTTTTATTTACTGTGGTCTCACAGCTGCTTAGTGTCACCACATTCAAAACAGTGTCACTTTTCAACAGAGCCACCCAGCATCAAAACAGCAGAGAAATGGGGAGAAAACATTTGGCAGATGTTATCACTCTGTAGAGCAGCGTTACTGATACACTGCCAGTGTTGTGCTTTGATTGGAATTGCTGGTGGTAGACAGAGAGTACAGGGCTCAGCATTGACACAGTTTCAGAACATGTAGAGACAAAGCCCTGTTATCCCTTTCTCTCGCAGTCAAAATAAAACAAAGCAAGGGGGGGATACGCTGTAGTGAAGGTGAGATTTTTATAATAATCCCTGAGGCATCTGTTTCCGGCCCTCCCTCTCCCCTCACCTGCTTCTACTGATATATATAAACATCAGATGACAGTAGAGAGAGACACCTTCTCTCCTACTCCTCCTCTTCAGTTTGGGTGTGTTGCCCCTGAGCACCTTGTTTCAACCCTGAAGTACGCAACATCTGCTCTGTGTCATGGCTCCTGCTGTTGCTGTGTCACAGTTCCAAATTCTACTGTTGCATTATAGATTGTAACATCAGCAGCAATAGTAGCAGACGCGGTACATCGTGAACGTCTGGCAGACTACTGTCCTGTCTGGCAGGTCATCTGCCTGCTCGGTTGTCTGCCATTCTGTCTGTTGCTGCGTCTAGATACAGATAACATAAGAAGTCCGTTGCCTTCGGGCATTTCCTCTCATCTTCTCAGAGAAGACAAAGCACAGGCTCGCATGCACTGCCACTTCATATTCAGCGATAGTCAAGACGACACGTTTTGCACCTCTAGTGAGCACACTGCAAAAACACCAGAGCTTCTATAACAATCTTAATACACTGTACTTGGCAGGTGGGCAAACAAATTGACATGCACAGTTACAGTAAGGCTGTTTGCTGTGTCCCGTTTCGTTGTAGATTTGATTTGATTTTTCCTCTGCTTCTTGGTCTACTCTGTCTTCTCTCTTCTTGTGTGTGCAAGGTGATAGCAAAAAATAGTGTGAACACATTTACCCCTGTCTAATTAGATAATGGCACACAGCATGGCTTTCATTAGTGAGGCCAAGACTCTCTCCATACACTTCCACTTTATATACTCAGACTTGGCACTGTCCATCCTGCTACCCTCCAGCTTAGAAAGACACACACACATACACACACATACAGAAGCTGTTGGTCACCAGGCTCTCTGAAGCCTCTGTTTAGATTTTGTAACAAATCTCTACACTGATACTGTAATTGTATTGGGGTTGAGGGGAAGTGTGCTCTATTTATGCATTTTGATGTATTTTTTCTCCTTCATATATTATATGATGCAGTATACTGGGACTGGCAAGTGAGCATTACTAACTTCCTCTAACTTGGCTTTTTTTTTTTTTTTTTTTTTTTTTTTTTTTTTTAAAGCCCTTTAAAAGTTATTAAATGGACCATAAAAAAGGGGCTTATTGTTAACACAAAAGGTTCCTCTGTGATGAAGCTTCCGCCGGCTTTAATAATCTATTTTAATTTTTGTAAGTGCAAATAAAGCAGTTGAGAACAGATTTGTAGCTTTTTATTTGTTCTTGTAAAAACTGAAAAGGATATTAAAATTGGCAGCATTCCGGTTTCCTTAATTGCTTTGGAGCGTTTGTGTGACTCCACACGCAGTAGATGTGTGGCAGTTCGCTGTAGTGCTGAGAAAAGTTGGCAGTGCCATTTGTAGGGATCTTTATGAACTTCTGCTTTGTGTTCAGTGTGACAGAAGGAACGTCCCTCTCCACACTGTAGTCCTGACCTCACCAGCTTTTTCATAGCTTCTGTGTGGCGCCACTGTTTCGTTCTGTCTTTTTAAAAAAATTTTTTTTAGCAAATCTGGGGAGGAACATGTGGCCCTCAGCAGAATGAATGAATGTGTTTGTCTACTTGTTATAAAGGCTTTACAGTTCAATCAGAATTTTTGCTGCCAAAACTGCTGCCATCCTGCAGGCTCATTACAAAACACGCCACTAACAGTAATACATTCATCACCACCTTTGTTACTTTGTGTGATACAGATTAGACTCACTTAACTTGAAAATGCAGTTCTTTAACTGTACTGCGGCGGTTTTAAGAACAGCAATATCTATGGTTTGCTGTATAACGTACAAGTGGATAGTATGCGAACAGGAACTCGTCAGTCTCCAACATTGCATTTCACATGTACTGTATTTACGGATCTCATCAACACTGTTTGGCTATAAGCCTTCAACATGGCCACAAGATCATGTGCTGCATCATCTGAAAGCCCTCCATTTGTTCTGTGTTTGTGTAACCCTTTGCACTGTTTCAACTCTTTATGCCAGACACAGCAGGTGAGCACGCAGCCCTCCACAGACAACGGTCTCTGCCCCACAGGCCGCCCGTCATCCCGCTTGTGGCTCGCATGGCTGACCAGAACACATCTGGCACCCCGGCCATGACCGAGAGGGAAGCGTCCCGTCTGGATAAGTTCAAACAGTTACTGACTGGGCCCAACACAGATCTTGGTAAGAGATACTCATCCAAAAGTCTCCGCTTATATGTCAGTTTGTGTTACAATATGCCCTCTTGCACAGTCCACTTGTCTCACTGCTGCTCTGTCTCGCTCTACTTTTCTCAGCTTTTGTCTAGTTTAGCCTTTTTTTCTTTTTGCTCTGTAAGCTCTTTCACTTTTTCATTTCCGTGCGCTCTTTTGCTCCTCACTCTTTAGTTTGCTCACTCTGTCTGCCAGCTGTGCTGCGCTTTTATCGATGCCGCGAGTGGGGAAAGTCATCCAGCCATCTGGACATGCAGATTACAAGGGGAAAAATACCAGCAACAACAAAAGCAAATGACAGGCCTTTGTTCTAACCAAACGACAGGCCTTTATTGTTTATCCAACCCCAGAGACTTTGCTACCACTGCCACCCCAGTGGCCATGAAATCCTTGCAGACCTCCCTCTTTACAGGCGACTTTGTGTCCACCGAAACTAACTTTTGGCAACTGCTATGCACCAACTTTTCAACAAGTAGATTAACTACATCAAAGCAGATTGAGCCTGTCCGAGTGCACGCGTTGAACGTTGAGACCCAGCCAGTGACCAATCTATAACACAACGTTATGTGATGAAATGCTTATGCTTGCTATTAAAGAGCAGTAGCTGCAAAGAATCTGAAGATATTTTTATTATCGTTTTTAAAGCTAAAGGTTACTTGGAGTGAAGGTGGCAAAGCAATGATGTTTGAAGTCTTAAGAAATATCACATTTCACAGCAACGTATGAAGTAAGCCCTGGGGGGAGCACGATAAAAAGCGTATAGATAGTGGCCTGCTGAAGTAATCTGATATAGTCTAACATCACAGTTTTAATTCAGGCAATTAGTAAATATGTTATAATAATTAGATCTTTAATTTAAATGATAGAAATACACTAACATGTTGATGTAAGATGTAGAATATGCAGCTGAATATTTTCCTACCTCAACTAAGAACACTAATTATCATTCTGAAACAGCGTCATAATCTGTAGCAGTCTTTTCATACCAGTCAAGGGCCTTCGTGCTGTCCTGCTTGGTCTCGAGTCCCTGAATTCGGAGGATTTTTGCAGGCTGTTAAAATGTGTGACCAAAAGGTGCTTTAAATTGAAGTTAGAAGTGTGTTCCCATGACACCAGTCAGTTTTGGCAAAAGCACAGAGACTGACTCATAAAAGGAGTTGGAGTTGTGTGGATTATTAGAGGAGCATGCACCATCAAAGTCTTTGTAAAGTGTCTGTTCAAACACCTCCTGAGTTCAGATCTGTTCTGTGTTTTACAATATGTATCTACATCTGCTGACCTTGAGTGGTTTTTGTGTCTTCATGCTGCCTTATGGCTGCATAATATGTGTGTGTGTGTGTGTGTTGAGTGTGCCTGACACAACGGGAGCATGAAGTGAGACCAAGGGAGAGAATTAAAAAAGTGCGTTGCTTGGCAAGAGAATGGCCTGTCTAAATACCCTAAATATGCTAAAGAAAGAAAGAGTGTCGGCAATATTTCAGTGCAGAAATGACAGAGTTTAAATACCGTAGCCTCCATTATCAAATGGTGGCTGTGGTCTTAATTTGCCACAGCTGAAGAGGCTACCAGGCATTAATTTGAGACAGGCTATTATTAGAAGCAAGCCTTTCATTCAGATCTCTCCTCTTTCTATAGTATAGTTAAGCATACTATCATATTTTAGAAGTAATCTTCTAATTTTTCTAATCCGCTCCATTTCTGCATTTCTGTTTGCTGTGAATGCAAACTCAACACTTCTTAAATTTGTCTCACATTATAAGCTGTACAGTGTTTCAGAAGGCACAGTCCCCTTACTGGAAGGCTTTTATTTTGAGACACTTTCAGTATTGACCGACTGATACTAGATTTTTGGAAGTAGATACCAATATAGATGTTTGACAGTATAATAATAATAATACATCAGGTGGTGTTTTGAAGGGTCCATTCAATTTTTAATTATGAGATAAAAGAATTGGAGCATTTTACAGTCAAAAAATCAACTTATCAGTGCTTTGTGGTGTGCAAACTATGAAACTGAGATACTTTCTACCTTACCTCAAATCTACAGTTATTTGGCATTTCTGTACTGACATTTCTTGAGAAATACCAGCTGACATATTTGCCAATACTGATATATTAGAAATGAGCTAATATTGGCCAATATATATCGGCTTGGCCAATTTATCAGTCAGGCTTTAATTTGCAGAAAGTTTGAATTATTTGAATTTAAACAGAAGGCCTAAAAATTCCCTCAGATGTTCTTCAGTACATTTGTTTTATTATTAAAGCAACTGCAAGGAGTTTTTAACTGATTATGAAACAGTCTGAATTAATACTGATGCCTCTGTATGACCTACATAAGCAAATGAGACCATCAGCGAGAAGATTGGCTTTCTCTATAGAGGTTTTCAGATAAAACGATTTACGGCATGCAGACCGGAAGAACCTATGTTTACATTTTGCAAGGTTTCCCAGTGAGCAGCAGGTTATCCAGTTAAAAGGAAGCAGGAGGAGATTTTTCTTAAGAGAAATGTATTTTTGAGGTTATATTTTGTGGTTATAACTGATACTGGTACAGAATCAGCAAAGAGGAAAAAAAGGGCCGTTGATGGAGCACAGGCGAGAACACTAGTCAACCTTGGTCAGTCATTCAACAGATGGAGAGAATTGCAGGATTTGAAAGGATTCAAAATCGATTCTATATTGATCCTTCCTTGAAGACAGGTATGTAATAGTCTATTTTATTTGGCAGTGTACAGTCCATGGAGCTATATAGGTCATGGCGAATATTACTGTAATACTACTGGCTTACTATTACCAAGCACTCAAATCTGTTAGTTGTAGGCTTACATGTAATGTAGGGGTATGAATGGTACTAAAACAAAGTTTACTTTGTTTCACCATTGTCATATTACAGTTATTAATCTTACACAGGCACAAATAGATGCATTACCACATTGCATGGATCCTGCAAAGAGCAAATAATGAAGAACCACGCTTGACCATTAAAGCAGGTTTTTTTGTGTGTGAGTATATTGAAGAGAGGCACACAATAAAGTTTTTTAAAAATTTAATGACAAACTGGATAAAGCCATAAAGTGCTTAAAATACCTCCAGCACAGAGAAAGCAGCACAAAAATAAAATTGCTACAGTTTGGAAGGTTATTACAACATTTCCAGCCGACCAGAGCTGCAGCACTCACTCTGTGTCGCCGATTTTTAAAATGCTTTATTACCTGCTGTAATCAGCAGTTCCACTTATTTTGGCGAGGAGGAGACCGACATCGGCTATGTGTAAAAACTTCCTGACTGATGAAAACTAAAAAAAACAACTTTGGACCCAGTATTTAGCGTAACTCCATCAGCTGTTCGCTGTAAACACACCGCTGCAGGCTGGCTGCTGTTTTCGGAAAGTACTACTCCCTCGACCCTGGTCCCTTCGGTGGAAACGCAGCGAGTTCCTCTATCGGTTCCTAGTTCTGGAGTATAGTTCCTTTGGTCGAAACGCAGCTAAAGTTTATTATTGTTGCTTTACTGATTAATGACAATCACATTGCATCGCCACCGATTGATTAAAAGATTATCTAGACCAGAAAATTAACCTGCATCCGCAGATCATGTTCTGTCATCAGACATGGCTTATTGGTTTACAATTGGAATTGTAAAAGTGTGTGTTGAAGTGTGTGAGCGTGCCACTGCTTTCTTACTTTGCTTATCTAGATTACTTTGAGGTACACACACTTGGAGCATTGGCTAAGATCTTGAAATGCTGGATTTTATTAAGTTTGAATGGCCTTAGTCAGCACAGTGCTTCACCTCTATGTGTGATCCCCTTGAAAACTTTCTGAACAAAACAAACTGGTTCACAAGTCGTCAGCGTTAGTCAACGGTGGTTGCAGCCCGCTCGGGCAGAGTGTATCCTGTACATCAGCAGAGTGTCTTGAGATGTCAGTCCCCATTAGGGCCTGCCAGGCATCACAAGCCGGCTGTCTAAATTTAGTTTAGTCTCTGCACCATGATTAGATAGCCCAGAACGGGCGAGCCACGCTGCCGGCTGCTGGCAGCATGAAAGATGAACTTCATTCACGGGACATAATTAAGTGAAGGATTGTGGGAGGGGGGGTTGATGAGGGGTGATGGGGTAAGGGAGAGGGATAGGGGCAGATAAGATAAGATGAAACTTTAATGATCCCCGTGGGGAAATTGGGTCATTGCAGCAGCAAAGAATGGGATATAGATGAGAATACAAAAAGCAAAAATTTAAATCACCACCATCTGAAGGAATTTAAGCCTACTGTAACAAAATATTTCTGGGACAAAAGTAAATAATATCATTGCTTGCTTGTAGTTATGAGTCATTTTTAGACCTTGGTTTAGAAAGTTGTTTTGGGTATGAATATGTCGGATACATAGAGCATTTTACCATTTACACATTAGCAGACTTTTGCAGTTTTCAGTTAAAAGGAAGATGACTAGATGGATTAAACTCCTTGTCCTTACAGTGGAGGTCATTGTCCGTGCACGCGGCCTGTGGCACATTCACACAAATTCCCACACATGCCAATGGACACTGTCAGCGGGGATGACGCCCCCTTGTGTGTGTGGGGGTGGGCTGGTTTGATCCATCGGTTGGTTCCAGACTTGAGCGGTGTCATTAATTGTAGAGACAGCCATGTTTTCGGGCCAGGCCCCCTGATATGTCAGGGCTGCCAATCTCTGGAGTCCACAGGTGTGTTTCTCTGTGTTGGACAGTGTTGGTCGGTGTGTGAATGTGTGGGATTTTCTAAAATGCTAGTCCAAGCCTGTAATTTAACATTATAGCTACCTCCACTACTTTTGTGTTGCAATTTAGTTAGTCTTGTGAGGCGGTGTACAAGAGTGCATTAGGCAACCTCTTCAGGTCTTGAGTGATATGAAACTTTGTCTGTGGAACGTTTAAGAACTATATTGAACTGAAGGGAATGGATGGTGAACAAAGTATGCAGTCTTACA